TATTTTTCCCTAGTCTGTGGTTTGCTGGCTTTAGATTTTGCAAAGCATTTTACATTTCTTAGCTCTCTTTCTCTCTCTCTTTTAAAATATATTTTATTGATTTTTCACAGAGAGGAAGGGAGGGAGATAGAGAGCTAGAAACATGGATGAGAGAGAAACATGGACCAGCTGCCTCCTGCACGCCCCCCACCGGGGACATGCCCGCAACCAATGTACATGCCCATTGACCGGAATTGAACCCGGGACATTCCAGTCCACAGACCGATGTTCTATCCACTGAGCCAAACTGGCTTTGGCTACATTTCTTAGCTCTTAATGTCATAATAACTATGCATAAATTTAGACTCAAAGGTTAAGTGATGTGTGTTTTCCAAATTTTATGATTTAAAAAAAGTTATCTTCATGTGCCACTTATACTACTATCAACTTAACATTTTCTTTATTCACTTATTTTATTCTTTTTAAGCAAGGGTGGAAGGGAAGAAACAGAAACATTGATATTGCCTCAGGTGACACAGGATGGAGCCTGCAACCAAGGTGGATGTCCTTGGCCAGGATTGAACCTGGGACCCTTCCATCCACAGGCCAATGTCCTATCCACTAAGCCAAACTGGCTAGTGCTCATTTTCTTCTTAAGTACCTCCCTTAGCCTTACTCCAAGTGATATAAGCTGTGAAATACCTGGTTTGATGGACAGTTCTCCCTGGCACAGGGTAAAATGTAACAAATGCATGTGACCTGAAAATGTTTCTCGCACCGATGGAGGGAGCACATTTTGGGAGAACAAGTGATGGCTGGGCTATAGCTCCCTCTTAGTGCGCACGCAGCTGGTGGTAGTTATTTTTATTATTTAGAACTTACCTGCAGCTAAAATAGCCCCAGGAACTGTTTCTTAACAAAGAGATCAGAATAGCGTTTCCTCTTTGTGGCTAGCTTCTCAGATTCCTTTTTTTCCCTTTGGGAAGATGGTATGTACAATGCTCAATGTTCCACTCCATCTGGTTTGAATCTTATTCTTAAGTCAAGTCTCCTATCCTCCTATCTCTTTAAGGCGCATTGGCTTATCTCTGCTTGCTTTCTCTCCTGGGTGAATGTTCTTTTTTTTTTTTTTTTTTTTTTAATATATTTTATTGATTTTTCCACAGAGAGGAAGGAAGAGGGATAGAGAGTCAGAAACGTCGATGAGAGAGAAACATCAACCAGCCACCTCCTGCACATCCCCCACATGCCCTTGACCAGAATCGAACCCGGGACCCTCCAGTCCACAGACCGACTCTGTATCCACTGAGCCAAACCGGTCTCGGCCCGGGTGAATGTTCTGAGGGCCATCCCATTGATTTAAAGTTTCGGGTATTTACTATCACATTCTGCCTGCCGCAGCCCTCTGCCGCCTCCCCAGCCTTCTCAATTGTTCGCTTACAGCCCCATTTCCCCATCACACTTGGCTCCTCAAAAAACAGGCAAGGTGGGAGTTCTTTTCATATTGGTGCCCTCAGTGCTTGGAATAAAATTTTTTTTTTAAATAAGCGAATAAGCGGTAATTAAATGCAGGAACATCACAATGTCCCTCATTATGACTCAGAGCTGGTGAACTTCTTCCAGAATCCCCGTCACGGCAATCATCACGGATTCACGTTCAGCAGTGAACTGGTCATCGTCTCATTTTGTGCGAGAACAAACGTCCAATTTCCTAACAGTCTAGTTCTAATGACGGTTCCTTCCATTTGGCCCATTGGTCATGCTTGGCCTTTTCCTATTGGCACAGCCTCTATTGCCCCTCTTCACTCTCTTTCCTTCCCACACTCTGTGCAGGGACTACCCCTGAGGGAAAAGCTAGCGCTAATGTGGCTTTTGCCTTATGTTTCTTTCTTCCTTTTGCTTATTTCCTATTTTGTTTCACAAAGGATTCGCAGAGGCCAGTCACTGTTCTACTGGGACATTAGAAGGGTATCAAAATAGGATTCAGGGCAATGCAAAAGGGTGCTGTTTAACAGTGCATTCTAATTTAGGAGGAATAAGACTTTAGATTCTGGTCAAGACTTCTGTTTGTGACACCTGGAAACTAAGTTTGCTGGACTAGAAAAAGCAGCAGAAGCATTGACTAGCTCCATATTCCCAGCTTTTCTGCGATTCTTTTTTTTTTTTTTTTTTTTTAATCCTCATCTGAGGATATTTAAAAGTTGCGAGGGGGTGGGGTGGGGGAGAAGGGAAGAAACATCGATGTGAGAGAGACACATAGATTGGGGCTGGGGAACCTGCAACTGAGGTACATGCCCTTGACCAGGAATTGAACGCTCAATTCTTTGGTCCATGGGCTCATGCTCTAACCATTGAGCTACCATCCGGGGCCTGAGATTCTTTATATCAAGGCAAGAGCTGTCTAGAACCCTTTTTTTGGTCTCCCCTCATCTTGCCATCCACAAACTTAGTTAAGCCTCTCAGGCCATTAGAAACATTTCTTATTTTTATACATTGTTCTGGACTGGGTTGGCCCTTGTAAATGACAAAAGCAAGGGCCGGGAGAATGTCTAATGTCTTCTGAGAAGCAGGTTTTGTGTAGAGGAAAGGATTTGAAGTCATATAGTCCCAGAGTTCCAAACCCAGCTCCAAACCTAAAGTTGAATGACTCAAGATCAGTCCCATGATCCCTCTAAACTTCGATGTGTACAATATAGATTACAGTTCCTCCCTCTCAGGGTTGTGGTGAGGATTCACTGAGATAAAGTGCTTGGTAAAGTAAGGAGGGCTTGATAAATAAGAGCTGTATTGTCTCAGAAATGAGTAGCAAGTTACATTGGGGGGGGGGAAGTGTATTAAGTAAGTCTGTAGCTTTGGTTTTGTATTGATATGTGCATATGTGGTGCATGTGTGAATGTGATAACACATTTCCAATTCTATCTAGTGTAGGGATTAGAAGAGTACAGAAAGGACCTAAATTTTTTTATATACACAAATAGAACATATATAAACACAATGGAATAATTATAAAATCTCCATTTTATTACCACCCAGGTTAAGAAATAGATCATATTCGTACCCAGACTCCCTGAAAGGCCCCATCACAACTCCAGGTAACCACTGTCTGGCCTTTTGCATTCTTATGGTTTTACCACCCGTATATACATCACTCCCTAAACAACTTTGTTTTGTCAGCTTTTGAAATTTATACTAATAAATCATACTTTATTGTTTTGCTTCCTTCATTCAACATTGTTTTGAGACCTATTATGCCATTGTGTGTAATGTAGTTTATTCCTTTTCATTGCTGTTTGAAAACAGGACAAATAAGAAATTATCCTTTCTTATGGCTGATGGATATTTGGCTAGCTTCCAGTTCTTTCGGCCCTTACACCACTCAATATTATTTGTACATTCTGTACATGTCTCCTGGTGTACACAGTTAGGCGATTCTCTAAGATATATGTACAGGAGTGAGTTGTAGACTGTGCGTATATTCAATTTTAGCAAAGAGCGCCAAGACTGTACTAATTTACACTCCCATCAGCTATGTATGAATGTATGTAGAGCCTCTTCTTTGAAAGTTAGACTTTAGCTAAGATTGAAAAATAAGACCAGGCGGAGGCCTGGCTGCCTTCCTCCTCTCTGGTGGCCTTGAAAGCAGAGACGCTGCCCTGGCCACATCCCCAGGGATCCTAGGCACAAACCGGGCGTCAGTAACCCCTGCATCCAGTTTAACCGCCAATTTCAAACTTCCTAGACCGGCCCTGCCGGGTTAGTCCTTCCCAGATTCCCATTGGTCACCAGTCAAAGGAAGGAGCAATTTGATTGGCTCCCCTTTACCTTCACTCTGTCCCTTTAAGAACCTGGGCGGGGCCTGGGTGGTACGCAGATGTCCATCATAGGTAGCGGTCCTCTGATTGGTCAAAACAGGGTTGGGACCCACCCATTCGTCCCCGAGTTCAAACGCGAAGGCGGGAGGCCGGCGGCGGAGCTGGGCGCTGACGGGCGGGGTCCCCTGAGCGTGAGTCTGAGCCCCCCGAGCCCAGTTCTTCCCACCCGACTCCCAACACGGCGGAGGGCCCCCGTCACCCACACCGGTCCCACTTCGCCTCCCGAAGCGGGGAGGGCGGCGGTCCCGCCCTCAGGGTTGCGGCGGGAGTGGGAGGGGGTCAGCTGTGGGGATCGGGGGGTCAGCTGTGGGGTCGGGGGTCAGCTGTGGGGGTCGGGGGTCGGCGGGGTGGGAGGGGGGTCAGCTGTGGGGGTCGGGGGTCAGCTGTGGGGGTCGGGGGGTCAGCTGTGGGGGTCGGGGGGTCAGCTGTGGGGGTCCGGGGGTCAGCTGTGGGGGTCGGGGGTCGGCGGGGTGGGAGGGGGGTCAGCTGTGGGGGTCGGCGGGGTTGGAGGGGGTCAGCTGTGGGGGTCGGCGGGGTGGAAGGGGGTCAGCTGTGGGGGTCGGGGGTCGGCGGGCGGGGTCCGGAGGGTCAGGATGGCGGTGCGCGCGCCTCTCCCACGGGAGCCGAAGGGTCCGCTGGGGGCGGCGGGGGCGGGCCGGGGCGGGAGGAGTTGGCCCCGTGGCCTTCTGCGCGGCCTCCTGTCAGCATGAGGCGCGTGCGTTCTTCCGTCTGGTGGAGTCCGGCTGCCACTTGCTACCTGTGACCTTACCTCCTCAGTGTCTTCACACCCCGGCACCCACCCACCCCCTGCTTCCTCCGGCCTCTGCCACTCTGCTCTAGCCCCTCGGCTTCCTGCCATCGTTAGAGAAGGCCAGCGCCTGCCTCAGAGCCTTAGTGGAGCCCCGGCTGGTCCCTCTGCCTGGGGTGCTTTTCCTTCTCCAGGGATCACAAGGCTTGCTTACCGTGGATAGAAAACTGTTTTTTGTTCGCCCTCCCCAGACTGAGTACCCCAAGGCCCCGGGTGTGGTGGCCGACCTGCACCTTCCTATCCCTGCTATCTAAGGAATATCAGGATCCTTCAGCCCTTCCTTCTCACATCGTCAGCGCACCCTTGACCTGCTCCTTTCTCCCTTCAGCACCTGCGGGGAGATGTTGAAATTCAAATATGGAGCCCGGAATCCGCTGGACACTGGCGCTGCTGAGCCCATTGCCACTCGGGCCTCCAGGCTGAATCTTTTCTTCCAGGTAACAGGCTGCCAACTCTGCTCACCTGAGTTTGTTTCCTTGTCACTCATCTTAATGTTTATTACAATATTGAGACCAACCTAGGAGACATCCCGTTCTCATGCAGCATCATCAGGCTTAAGTATGGAGCAATGCTGCTAGATCTGCCAGTGGTTTTTTTTTTTTTTTTTTTAAATATATTTTATTGACTTTTTACAGAGAGGAAGGGAGAGGGAGAGAGAATTAGAAACATTGATGAGGAAAAAACATTGATCAGTTGCCTCCTGCACACCCCCTACTGGGGATGTGCCCCACAACCAGGGTACATGCCCTTGACCAGAATCGAACCCAGGACCCCCCAGTCCGAAGGCCGACACTCTAGCCACTGAGCCAAACCGGTTAGGGTGATCTGCCAGTGTTTTAAGAGAAGCCAGAAACATCCCCTTCTCCCACCGTTTTGGTAAAATCTGATTTTTCAATATTGGCAGATAATTCAAATTATTTTACATATCACAGGCCAAACAAAACATGTCTGTGGGCTAGATACAGTCTGCCAGTTTGCAACTGTTGCTCTAGATCAGGAATGAATTCAGCTTTAGAATAGTCACTCCCTTCATCAAACTCTAGATTGTTTGAGTGAATTAAAGACACTAAAGTTATATTAATAAACCTCTGGGTACACATGAAGGAAATGGCAGTCCTTGTTTCCTGTAGTAGAGACATGGAGACATGTCCGGACCAGCAGGGTCCAGAATAAATGTTCCCGTGAGCCTCAGACCGTCAAAAAGAAGGGCCTTTTCTAATTAATGACATTCACGTGAAGTTTTTCTCCCCAGATGCTGGTGAAAGAAACCCACAGTAATGGAATCGTACAAGTGATAACTTAATGACTGTCAATTGATGTTTCTTTAAAGAATGAAGCTACAGAATTGGGCTGTTAGCATGTGTCGTGAGCAGTTAGTCAAGTTGGTGGCTTGTAATTTACTCTGTGTGGATGGATGTTATTGATCAAAGCTTTTCATTATTGACAGTGTCTCCATCTGCTGTTTGCTGTTTTTAGGGGAAACCACCCTTGATGACTCAACAGCAGCTGTCTTCTCTTTCCCGAGAAGGGATATTAGATGCCCTCTTCGTTCTCTTTGAAGAATGCCGTCAGCCTGCTTTGATGAAGATTAAGCACGTGAGCAACTTCGTCCGGAAGTGTAAGTTGGGAGAACTATTTCTTGAAAACTGTTCCCCTGGAGAAACCTGGGAGGATGCCACAGGCAGAATGAGTCAATGGCTGCTGAGAGTGGGTAAGAATTCTGCTCTTAGACAGGCCCCTTTTCACAGTCAGCTTCCACCTGTTGTAGCTGGGAGACCGGATAAGTCAGGCCTCTTGTTCGCAAGCGACAGAAACTCATCTCAAACTAGCTGAGGCCAGTAAGTGAGAAATCCAAGGGTGCGTCAAACTTTAGGCATGGCTGGTTCCAGGGACTTAAATATTGTCCTCTGGCCTAGTCCTCCACTAACTCAGCCTGGACTTCTCCATTAGGCATAGTGGGCACAATGCTTAAGTCCCACAATATTTAATTTTAATAAGTTTAATTTAGTTTAACTTAATTTATTTTAAAGTCATAAGGAAATATGTATATAGAAATAATGTATAATGGTTCTGGATTATGATTATATTTGTCATTATGCCACTGCTCATAAAATATATATAATTTTTTATTTTTATTTATTTTATTTTTAATGGAGGAAGGGGCTGATGAAAGCAAAAGAGCCTAAGGGCCCACGTTGGCCCTGCCCACACCCTGTTCTTGACTTTGCTTGACTTGGGGAAGTTGGCTGCTGGTCCTAAGTCTTTTTTGACCAGTGGTGATTTTGCCCACAGGGACACTGGGCAACGTCTGGGGACATTTGTGATTTTCAAAACTGGCGAGGGGGGGGAGGGGGGAGGGAGATTGCTACTGGCATCTAAACATCCTGTAATGCACAGGACAGTTCTCCACAACATGGAATTATCGGGCTGGAAATGTCAATTGTGCCAAGTTTTGGAAACCCTGCCTTACATGACTTAACAGTATAATTACCCTAAACTTTAGTCGTCTCAAATGATGATCATTGTATTATCTTTCATGATTCTGTGGGTTGCCTGGGCTCAGCTGAGGACTCCTCCTCTCTATGTGATGTTGGCCAAGATTTCAGGCACCAGGGACTCCTGGTCTGGAATGTCCAGATGGTTCACCCAATGCTGACATGTTGACTAGAAGGCTGGGCTCAGCTGGGGTTCTGGGGTGACTAGGCCTTTTTCTCCTGAAGTCTCAGGGTTTTTGTGTTCTCCACGGCTCCTCTATGTGGTCCCTCTCTCAGGAGATCAGCCAGCTACAGCCTGGGATGCCTGTTATCTAAATAAAGTTTTACTGGAACACACAGCTCATTTGTTTAGGCGTTGTCTGTGGCTGCTTCCACATTTACAATGGCATTTGAGTAGTGGTGACAGACCCTTGAAAGGCCTACAAAGCCTAAAAGCCTGAAGTATTTACCATCTGGTCCTTTAATTGAGGAAAAACTTGCTGATCCCTGATCTGCATGGTGGGTCTCTAGCAGAGATGTCCTACATGGTAGCTCGAGGTTTCCAAAAGCACAAAAGTAGAAGCGGCCAGGCCCCTTAGGGCGAAGTCCTGGAAGGGGTTTAGGGTCTATTTAGCTACATTCTGTTGTTTGAAGTGGGTCATAGGGCGGCCCAGGTTCCACTGCCAGGAACTACGCAAGGGCATGAATTCCAGGGGACATGTGTCACCTGGCACCACCTTCAGAGACTGGCTGTCATACACTGCCTGACCTTTATCTTTCACTGTGTACTAGTATATTAATACAATGGCAGGGAAGATTCTAATCGGCTCTGTTTTGGGTCGTTTGCCCACCAGTCACTGTGATTGGCCTCATCTGGGTACTCGGGTTCAGGGCACCGTGGTTACCAGGGCCTCATGAAATGGGGGATGTGCAAGTACCCAGAGGAGCTGGGAGTTTTGAATAGATGAAACCAGTGTATGGGCCCTAGCCTGTTTGGCCAGTGGATAGAGCATTGGCCTGTGGACTGAAGGTGTCGGGCGTTGCAGGAGGCAGCCGATCATAATTCTCTCTCATTATTGATGTTTCTCTCCCTCTCCCCCTCCCCCTCCCCCTCCCCCTCCCCCTCCCCCTCCCCCTTCCCCTCCCCCTCCCCCTCCCCCTCTCCCCCTCCCTTCCCCTCCCCCTCCCCCTCCCCCTCCCCCTCTCCCCTCCCTTCCCCTCCCCCTCCCCTCCCCCTCCTCCTCCCCTCCCCTCCCCTTCCACTCCCCCTCCCCCTCCCCCTCCCCCTCCCCATCCCCTTCCTCTCCCCTCCCCCTCCCCCTCCCCCTCCCCCTCCCCCTCTCCCCTCCCCCTCCCCCTCCCCCTCCCCCTCCCCCTCCCCCTCTCCCTCCCCCTCCCCTCCCCCTCCCCCTCCCTCTCCCTCTCCCTCTCCTTCTCCCTTTCTGAAATCAATAAAAATGTATTAAAAAAAATCAGTGTATGTTCAGTACAGTGACTTTAGGTAGTTAGGTGTGAACCTTGTCTGTCCTCAGTTTCCTCGTCTGTAAAAAGGGGGAAGTGTATATCTAATAAAGCTGTGAGGAGATTGAATGATCAGGTTTATCATGTTGCCTGGTACATAGAGACACTCCATAAATGTTTCCCAATAACGATAGTCATAAACCTCCACCGATGTTTAATATATCTTTAACTTTAAAATGTCCTTGGGGTGTTTGCTCATTATTCTGTATTTGTTTGAATAAACTCCACCTTATTTTCTTGCATATTTAAATTCTCAAATAGGGAGTGGAGGGGAAGGGAAATTATGTGACAGACGAATTTACCACTTACCGAGCCACCCAGAGGCACCTTCATTAGGCTGGAGATTGCTCTCTGGTTACTTTAAAGCAATGGCTCTTCTTGACTCGTTCCATAATCAGGGGGCTAGGCATAGTGAAATGTAGATTCTTCAAATGGAATTCTCTTTTAGGGAACTGTTTCATATTGTTGAAGAGGCTTCCTGGAGAGTATAGTTGAGAGGCTATGATTGAAAAAGGTTGATTGCATTAGTTTTTTTTTTTTTTTTTTTTTTTAATTTTCTTTCCTTTTGAGTTTCTGTTTCAGAATGCAAGCTTCAGTTTCCCATGGGAATAAAGGTCCAAAAGCTGTTATTGCCCAAGTTTCTAGAATCTTGTCATAGAGATAGAGATTTTCTCTGGGAATTTTTGGAGGAAATGAGACAAAGTGTACCCCTATAAACCAAAGTGTTGCCCCTAGCATGGGCCAAGGGAGGGCAGAGAACTAGCATCTGGGAACGAGGGATGGAATTTTTTTTTCTTAATTACTGTCCTATCCCCAGTATCTGACACGTATCAGGTGCTCAGTAAATACTGGTTGACTGACTATGATGCTAATGAACAAAACAAGTGGCCAAACCTTAAATATAGTGTCTCATAATTTGTGTGAAAAATAAATGGCAAGAGTGATATTAAAACACACATAGAAAAGTGTTCATAATTGCCAAAGTTAGGAATTTTTGGTGAGTTGATAGTAGCTAAAATTCTACCCTCTTTCATCCACATTCACCATAGGTGAAGTCTGTATGTTCACAACTTTAGTATTTATGGGCAAATTATAACTTGAAGTTTTTTCTCCCTAATAGTAAACATAATACAAAATTAAATAAAAAGATCAAAGAGAAAAATCCCACAAAATCTTGCCTGCCTGAGATAGCCATTATTAATAGTTTGGTGTATAGTATTGCAATGTTTTTGTCCTTATAAAATATTATAGCAATTATCAAGCACATCGAAAGGAGAAGAGAGTATTTTATGAATTCCTCTGCCCCGGTCAATTAGCTTTATTATCTGTCAGCCCTTTCCCTGCGTGTTCTAACATAACTTGTGTTTAATTTTACACAAAAAGAATAATATGTGTTAAATTAGAAAGTGAAACGTAATCACTTATTTGAGATCAATAAGAACTCAATGGGAATCACTGGTTCAGGCAAAGTCCAAATAGTGTTCCGATGAGGAGCAATGGGTATTTAGGAGGAAGGGAAGGGGCAGGATGACATCAACAGAAGGAAGGCATTTCTGTGGTGCAGATAGCATTAACAGCCATGTTCATTCTAAATCATATTTAAAATTTCAGGCCAGTAGTCATAATAACTGCTTTTTTTGTTATTTTGGCAAACAGTTCTTTGGGACACAAGGTTTATTAAGCCCCGTCCAAATGTTGTTTGCTCTGTTTTAACATTCCAAAGATTTGAGACAGAACAAGTTTAAGACAGTTCTGGCTTGGCAGCTCCGGTCCATTTTAGAGTGGTTCTGTTATTATTGTTCATATATGTGTATAATGTATTGTTCACATTGTGTATAATGTCTTGCCACTAGCTTTGCTCACTTAGCAGCATATTTACCCAACAAATATTTATGGAGCATTGGCTTCGTGCCAGATTCCCTTTTAGGTTTACAATAGTGACTAAAACAGACAAACTCTCCCCATATATTCTAGTGGAGGTTGAATAAGGGCCTAATATTCTTTTAAACAAGGGCCTAATATTCTTTTATGTGGGTGGACTTTCCCGTTGATGGACCTTTAGGTTGTTTTTAATTTTCTGTTACAAGCCTGCTCATCACATTTTCATATGTATCTTCTGCGAGCACATGTGCTGGTGTTTCTGTGAAGCACTTTGAGTTCCTAGAAGTTGAAATGTTGGATTACTAAGTCTCAGAAAAGAAGCAGTGCATTCAGCAGTGCTGGCTTTTCCTTTCTGGGTGCAAATGTCTATCTAACAAGACCATCCTTTGCCTGCATTCTGTTACAGTGCTTCCAATCTTTATCGCCACTTCAGAAGTCAGCACTGGGCTCTTATTTGCTATAACCATGTGCAGGGGTGAAGGGTAAAATGGTCTTGGGATTACAGAAGCTGCCAATTTAGAGAGAAATTGTGAAGATTTATTTTCTTAAATAGTCGTAGACTTGAGTTTAGGGTCTTACCTGTTCACCTAACAATTCAAAGCCTTTGAAAAAAAGATAATTGAGATTTGGAATGATTTTTTATTTTATTTATTTATTTATTTATTTATTTATTTATTTTTTAAGATTAAGATGTTATCTTTTTTTAAAAAATAAATTTTTATTGTTCATATTATTACAAATGTCCCCCCCCTCCATTGCTCTCCTCCACCAGGTTCCCACCCCACCCTCTGCCCTTTCCCCACCTCCCATTGTCCTCATCCATAGGGTGCACAGTTTATGTTCAGTCTCTTCCCACATCCCCCTCTCGCCTTTTCCCCAAGAATCGTCAGTTCACTCCCCTTCTATACCTCTGATTCTATTATATTCAACAGTTAATATTGTTCATCAGATTTTTTAAAAATTTCCTTGGTTTTTAGATTCACTTGTTGATAATTACGTATTTGTTGTTCATAATTTTTATCTTTATTTACTTTCTCTTCCGAAAGAATCTTCTTCAGCAATTCATATAATTATGGTTTGGTGGTGATGAACTCCTTTAACTTTTTGTTATTAGTGAAGCTCTTTTTTTAAATATATTTTTATTGATTTTTTTACAGAGAGGAAGAGAGAGATAGAGAGCTAGAAACATCGATGAGAGAGAAATATCAACCAGCTGCCTCTTGCACACCCCCTACTGGGGATGTGCCCGCAACTAATGTACATGCCCTTGACCGGAATCGAACCCGGGACCTTTCAGTCCACAGGCGGATGCTCTACCACTGAGCCAAACCGGTTTCGGCATTAGTGAAGCTCTTTATCTGGCCTTCGATTCTGAGCGATAGCTTTGCTTGGTAGATTATCTTTGGCTGTAGGTTCTTACTATTCATCACCTTGAATATTTCTTGCCATTACTGTCTGGCCTGCATGGTTTCTGTTGAGAAATCAGCTGACAGTCGTATATGTGCTCCTTTATAGGTAACTACCTGCTTTGCTCTTGCTGCTTTTAATATTCTCTCTTTGTCTTTTGCTCTTGGGATTTTAATTATGATGTGTCTTGGTGTGGTCCTCTTTGGATTCCTTTTGTTTGGAGTTCTGTGTGCTTCCTGGACTTGTAAGTCTAATTCTTTCCCCAGGTGGGGGAAGTTTTCTGTCACTATTTCTTTCAGTATATTTTCGATATCTTGCTCTCTCTCATCTTCTGGGACCCCCATAATTCTGATGTTGGCTTGCTTGAAGTTGTCCCAGAGGTTTCTTACATTATCTTCAATTTTCTGGATTCTCTTGCCTTCTGTCTTCTGTGGAGGAGTGTCTTCTGGCTCTTTATGTTCCAAATCTTTGACTTGATTCTTGTGATCTTCCATTCTGTTTTTAGGACTCTGTATAATATTTTTTATTTCAGACAATGTATTCTTTATTTCTTGTTGATCCCTTATCATTTCTTATTGATTCCTTATTAATTCTAGTTGATCCCTTTTCATATCCTCATAGGTCTTATCGACCTTTTCTAGGAAATTCTTGAAAAACCTTATAAGCGTAGATTTGAACTCTATATCCAGTCGCTTTTTGTCCTCCATTTTTTTCGTTAGTGATCTATTTCGTTGTCTTGGCATTTTTGCAGCTTCCCTGATGGGGCAGGTTTCAGGGTGGAGCATACAGCCTTGGCTTCCGTCAGCCCCACCCTATGCTGTTCCTGAGTCTCAGTAATCCCCAGGGTCCTTCAGTACTCGTTGCAAGCACCTCAGAGAAAGGTGCCCTCGATTTTCGCCTGCTACCAAACAGTGTAGGATCTCCCCCAATGAGCCCGGAACTGGGGTTCAGTTCAGTTGGAAGTGGAATTGGAGGTGGTGTTCAGAGCATTCCGGAGCTTTTGTCTCCTTCCCGCCTGGGCAATCCTGCGGCACAGCTGGCCGTCCCTTCTCTGCACGCAATGTGCGCGCCTCCGGGACCTCCTTTCGCGGCTCCCCCGGGGTTCCGCCTTACAGCCCAGCTCCCTATGGATGAGCCTGGGTCCCGGGGGTCTGGCCTAGAACTGGGGTTCAGAACAGTCGGAGCTGGGGCCCAGCACAGTCGGAGCTTTTATCTCCTTCCCTCTAGGGAACGCCAGCCAGGCACTCAGCCGCCCCTCCTCTCCGGCTCCGGCCCTTAGGCTTTTACAGCTCCTCTGCTCTTCCTTCTGGTTTTCTCCTTGCTTCTCGTTGTAGAATTTCCAGTCAGTTGACTTTCCTGTAGTTCTGGGTAATCCCCATTTTATATTTTAGTTGTATTTTATTGAAATTGTTGTGTGCGGCTGCGGCTAGGTGTTTACCTGTGCAGCCATCTTGGATTCTCCTCGTATCTCCTGGAATGATTTTTTAGAATTCTGAGAGTATCATGGTGGTTTTGCCTGTAAGCAGTTTGCCTGCTTGTGTGATTGAGATGTCTGGTAGTTGGCAGTGACAGACCCAAAATTAATAAGTTGGACAAAGGCTGTAAGCAAATTGTGGGCTCAAGGCCTAACAGAGAACCAGGAGAGATTGGCCTTGTGTGGGAGCAGTAATGAAATCGGGTTCAGCCCAGAGAGTTGCAAGCCAGCATATTTGGGAAATTATAATTCGAACTCAAACGCTTGATCTGAAAGAAACTTGGAAAGGGACAGGGAAGAAAGATGGGGCTGGCACTGTGATGCCAAGGTAAAAGGAAAATGCCGTTCAGCTTTCAAGTTTGCTTCTGCAGTGATTTCTCTGTGGAGGCACTTTAGGTTTTTAATTTTTATATTTTTATTTTTACAATGGTCATGATGAATTCATGGGGATCTACCTACCACTCTGGCCTGATTCCCCAAGGGCCAGAAGGAAGGTGTTTTCAGGATGACTGGCTAATGCGAGAGGTGGGTCTGTGGTGGGTAAACACTTAGTGCAACAGAGTTCATCGTAAGTGCCTTTGATACAAAGAAATTAAATTCCAGCCATGCAACAAAGAAAGGGGGTGGGTGACAGCAGTTACAACTGCATTGGCTAATTCATCAATATGCCACTGTGAATGTGGGTATGAAATGGCTTTTCTTTTTGTTGGACTCGGTCCTGCCATGGTCTGAACAATCTGCTGAGCTGAACGTAACTCTAGAAATCTATCTTCCAATTTTGTCCATGGCCAACCTACAGAAATGGTGATCTGTTCCTGTGCCCAGAGGACTCCAGTGTCCCTCTGGGATTGCAAGACAGCCTCTTGGTCTTCAAGGTGGCACTATCAGAGGGATTCTCCAGGGTAATTTTGATGATGTGTTTTCCTTGTCTTCCTTTGGAGTGTACCCCTGTATACGGTGCAGTTTCCTTATAATGTGCAGAACTGAATTAATTTTTCAGTCAGTCACAGCTGCTACCCTCCATTCTTGCAGGTCATTAGAGTTGCTGCATATTCAGAGATGCTCCAGCCTAATGTTCTTTCAGTGTTTAAAAAAAAAGTATGTTAGAAACCTGCCATTCATTTATTTAGTCCATATTCATACATCAAAGATCTCTGACTGAATGTTTATGTCCCGCCCAGTTTACTGTGTTGAGCCTGTGTCCCTCAATGGGTTGGTATTTGGAGGTGGGCCTTTAGAGGTACTTAGATTGAGATGAGATCACAAGGATGAGGCTTCCAAGAAGGGACTAGTGTTCTTATAAGAAGAGACAGAGACTAGAACTGCCTTTCTCTTTGTCATGTGAGGACGGAGTGAAGAGGTGGTTGCCTATAAGCCAGGAATTGGGCCCCCCCGGGAATTGAATATGCCAGCACCTTGATCTTGGATTTCCCAGCCTTCAGCATGATGAGAAATGAATGCCTGTTGTTTAAACAAATATCTATGATATTTGTTATAGCAGTCCAAAGCAAACTAAGACACCAACAGTTTGTACTAGGTCAGTGGTCGGCAAACTGCGGCTCTCGAGCCACATGTGGCTCTTTGGTCCCTTGAATGTGGCTTTTCCACAAAATATCACGACCTGGGCAAGTCTATTTTGGAGAAGTTTAAATTTAAAACATTTGCCTCTCAAAAGAAATTTCAGCTGAAATCGGTTTGGCTCAGTGGATAGAGTGTCAGCCTGCTGACTGAAGGGTCCCGGGTTCGATTCTGGTCAAGGGCATGTACCTTGGTTGCAGGCATATCCCCAGTAGGGAGGTGCAAGAGGCAGCTGATTGATGACTCTCTCTGATCGATGTTTCTAACCCTCTATCTCTCTCCCTTCCTCTCTGTATAAAATCAATAAAATATATTTAAAAAAAAATTCAATCGTTGTACTGTTGATATTTGGCTCTGTTGACTAATGAGTTTGCTGACCACTGTACTAGGAAAAGGAGTAAGACCATACATTAAGAAAAAGACCCTCTCAGAACTGTGGCACGTCAAGTTTGTTTTGTGTGTTTTTTGGTAGCACTGCCACATATCAAGACAAGGAAGGCATTACTATTATTGACACAATTTATAGGCGATAAAATGGGCTACTGAGAGGAAACTGAGCAGAGCACATGTCAGAATGGAATGTTCCAGAAACTACAGCATTGGTTGAGATGGGAGTCAGGATGCTTGCCTCCATTGCAAAATTGACCTAAATGCGGACAAGCATTTTTGACCAAACACTGCCCTGCAGCCTTGGGAAGAGGAAGGAAAGCTTGATCTGTTCTCCTTCCCCTATTTCCCAAGTCTACAGGATGCAAATTATAGCTGCCATGGAAACTGTGCTTTGGAATTTCTGGAGCCCTTAATTTAAAATATAAAAACACTTTTGTGCTGATTTTATAATTATTCATGATGATGAGAAGTGACTAAATGTCTTTGACAGTGAGGGAGGACATAAGAACACTTTCTCTTTTTTGGCTTTCATAAAGATGCAGGTCTTAGAAGCTCTTTATTTACCTGGGAGTCATTCTTCTATGTTTGCAGATTCCAGCACCATCACTGAGTTGCAGGAGCTCCAGCCTTCTGCGAAGGACTTCGAAGTGAGAAGCCTGGTGGGTTGTGGACACTTTGCTGAAGTGCAGGTGGTCAGAGAGAGAGCCACCGGGGACGTCTATGCCATGAAAGTGATGAAGAAGAAGGCCATGTTGGCCCAGGAGCAGGTAGGGGCATTTTGGCATCATACCTTTTCCCCTCTCTGTACCAGAATGTTCGTTGCAGAGCTGTTCATCTGCTGAATTGACATCTGGGATCAAGCACATTTTCCTGTGACTAGTTAGTTGCAGTTGCATGGGCAGACAGGTCTCTCATGTTCTTAGCTCTTTTTCTTGAACTGATCTTGACTCATTTTGAAGGCTCACAACTCCCCTGGATTTCTTTATCATGTTTTTATAGTTGTGTATGTTATTCAGAACCAACTTGGCCTTTTAATTAATGAGTTTAAGGTCTTTCCTGACTGTCAGCTGGGGATTTAGAGATATGCATATTATGAGGTGAGTCAGCATTTGCTTTTGTGCACATTTTATATATTTGTGCTGTGGGCATGTATATTTGATTTTAAAAAACACTCCTCTAAAGAAATGAAATAAAATCCTTATGTGGCTATAGAGTTGCTTGTTTGAGAGCAGGTAAGAAGGCTATGGTATTTTTCTTTCTTTTAAACAAGCCTGATGCTCCAGACATATTGATTCTTTTGCTGTGTTTCTGGAGAGATGGCCATCAGCCTTGTTGTTCAGAGAATAATTTATTAGTTACAGAAGTTTGAGTGCACATCATGTGTCTGATAATGTATCTGGCTTGTTGGAAGCCTGCACAAGGAAGTGAAGCTCCATAGCTGTTGGTTTCAGGGTTTAAATTAAAATAACCTTGGAAAGCAGAGGAAAAATGCAAATATCTAAAGCAGGCGCTTACCAGCTGAAACAGCTAAAGCATCGCAGGAGGGAGAGCAGTTAGCAAGTCCTTGAACGATGGAGTGAGGAGAGGTGTGAGCCAGGGGCAGTCAGGGGACATTCACTGCTGCAGGTTCTGGGCAGACAGAAGTGATGAGAATATGCCAGGTGCAGCGTGAGTGACTTTCTGGAGACTTGAGTACAGGATTGCTGTATGCAGATGTGGTTTGTATTTTTAGTTTTTTATTTTATTTATTTTATTTTATTTTATTTTATTTTTTTATTTTTTATTTTTTTAAAAAATCAATCTTTATTGTACAAAGGTTCCTCATTTCTTCCCCCCTCCACCAGGTTCCCACCCTATTTTTAGTTTTTTAAAATGGTTTAGAATAGACCTGGGAATGGGAAGAAATGAGGACATTTGGGTGGGATGGGAGTAACTGATGGGGAACCTCAAGAACCTTTTATTGTGGCAAATAGATATAACATAAAATATATCGTTTTAACCATTTTAAAGATCAATTCATTGGTATTAGTGCCTTCGCAGTGTTGTGTAACCACAGCCATTTCTAGAACTTTTTCACATCCCAAACAGAAATGGAAACTCCCCATTCCCCGTACACCAGTTTTTGGAATGGCAGTTTAATCTGTGAGACAGCTGGGGATCATTTAGGCTTTTGGAAGGAGGAGGTTGGGATCAGAGTCTCAGGACCTCAGAGACTTTGTGCGGCCTCCAGACAAAGAAGAGCGGAGGACAGGATGCTGCTTGTTGGAGTTCGAGGGGGATGTAGCCCATGTTTAGGAATGCAGTGTGAGCAACTACTCAGAAAGGACCAATGCAGGGTGGTGCAGATCGTCTGGCAGATTGTGGAAGATGCTCACCTGGCCTCCTAGCACCTACGTACCATCTATCCCCAGTGAACTCTTCCTGAGTGCCTGTTGTGTTAGTAGGTCCTTGGGAAGAGGCATTAGATGTAGTTCTGACCTCAAGATGCTTACCTTGTAGATGGAAACAGTACATGCAAAGACAGAATAATCCAGCGGCCCACACTGCAGTTCAGATAGCATGCCTTCCTCCCGGGGAATGACTCGTGATGACCTCTGTGAGGTATGGGTGGGAGGTTTCTAAAATCATACACATGTTGAAGTTGACCATCCATTCCTTAAGAGGGTGACTTTAAGAAAAGCAGGGTCCATGCGGAGGCTTTGGAATTTAAGGGCATTAGAAGAGAGACGCCAGCACCAGGAGTGAGTGAAGAGAAATGCCGAAGGGGAGGAGGTAGGGAGAGGTAGTGTCCTGCAGACAAGATCTGTCGCCTAGGAGCGACCAGTCCAGCCAGAGCTCCGTGAGAAGTGGAAGAGGTCATTTTAAATGAACAATGATACACTGTTACCATCTAATTCTCAGACCCCCATTCAGGTGTCACCAGTGGTTCCACGGTCTTTTGGGACAAAAGAATCCAGTCCAGGACCACACCTGGCCTTTAGTTGTCCTGTCTTTTTAGTCTTTCCAATCTGGAAAATTCCTTAATTTTTCCTGGCCTTTCATGACCTTGATAATTCTAAAGACTACAGGCCAGTTATTTTGTAAAATTTGTATTTGTCTGATTTTCTCATGTTTGGGTTAGGTTAGATGTCTTTGGCAGGAACATCACAGTTGAGATGCTCAGTTCTTTTTATTGCATCCCAGCAGGTGGCTCTCAGTTTCAGTTGGTCACATTCAAGATGATGTTCACTTTGGTATCTGCCTAGCTGTTTCACTCTAGTTACCTAAGTATCTTGTAGGAAGGTGCTTTCAAACTATCAAAATAGGCATTCTTCATAAAACTTTCAACTCACTCATTTATACTTTACGGACTTACATTTAAATGTTTAAGTCAAAGAGTTATGATCTATTACTGTTGTTATATATTTTTATAGTTAAATTGTCACCATGTTGGTCCATGAGAATCTCTTTAGGTTGGCTTTTTGTCCTTTTGACATACCCCACCTTTGAGTACTGTCTTACTTTCTGGTACAAGTTTTTAGGACCTTGTACTTTTACTTTGCCTACTCCAGCCCTGCAACAGTCCTTTCGGTATAAAACCGCCCTACTGGCTCCCGTCTCTGCTCGGGGCTCGCGCCAAACCCTGGGAGCTTCCTGATGGCTCTCACATCACACCCCACTTTCTAGTCCAGCCCACAGCGCCAGCAGCAAGCTAACCAGTCATTTGGAGCGTCTGCCCCCTGGTGGTCAGTGCACATTATAGTGCCTGGTCAAGTGGTCGAACTCCCAGATGAATTCTGGTCAAGGGGAAAATTTGCATATTAAGGTTTTATTACCTATATAATAAAAATGCATTAGAATGCATCTAATCTACTGTCTTTGGTGCTGCCCTTCCCTTTGGTAGGCTCAGAGCTTCCCTATATGTGGGTGCCTTCTTCACCCTGTATGGCTGTTGATACCATATATTGGATTGTCCCCACACGTGTTTGCAGCCCTCCTCATCCTGCTTGCGCCTGGTATCCTGTTCTGGGCCACCATGCCTCTTACTACCACTGTCACTGATGCTCAGGAAGGGAAGGTGAAGAGAAAGAGAAAGTACTTAGATTTAAAGAAAGCAAGTTGACTTTAAAGAAAGACACTAAGTAAATAATTGGTCAGATAATATACGGATCTGGCAAAAATTGTGAGCAAAGTAAGAAAATGGATGAGATTTGTGGGATGCTGGGTTAAATGATTTTTTTTTTTTTTTTTTTTTAACTAGAGACATCAATTTAGGCTTTAAGAGAAAGAAAAGGGCATTTTCCTCTTCCTCACATTTACTTTGTATTATAATTGTCTAAAAGATTTCTTTTTCCTCTAGGTTTCATTTTTTGAGGAAGAACGGAACATATTATCTCAGAGCACAAGTCCTTGGATCCCCCAATTACAGTATGCCTTTCAGGACAAAAATAATCTTTATCTGGTGAGTATTTACATCTATCTGGAAGTAGCCCAGTGCGCTGATATTGGATGTCACAGTCATAGAAACGATGTGGTTCTTGCTCAGACAGTTCATGGTACCTCTCCTTCCCTCCCCTGCTTCTCTGACTTTCAGGTGTCTTTCTGTTCTTCTCACCCTAAAGATTGAGGGCTAGCCCATGTAGAAACAGCCCCACTTACTGTTGGGTAGTGTAGCTATGACTTATAGGTCAACAATGAGAAATCATTTATTTGGGAATAGTCTGGGATTACCTTTAATAGAGTCTTGCTTTAATTTTTTAATAGAGATATAATTAATATATAATAACTATATTTCAGATGTATAATATTTTTTATATTTGTATATATTGTGAAGTGATCACAACAAGTCTAGTTAACATCATTAAAAATTTTTTTTAATCCTCATCCGAGAATATGCTTAGAGATAGATAGACAGATAAACATTGGTTACCTTCCATACACTTCTTGACAGGGGATCAAACCTGTAACCCTGGTATGTGCTTTGACTGAGAATTGAACTGGCAACCTTTTGGGGGCAAAAAGTTTTAATTTTTAAAAAAATATATATTTTATTGATTTTGTACAGAGAGGAAGGGAGAGAGATAGAGAGTTAGAAACATTGGTGAGAGAGAGTCATTGATCAGCTGCCTCTTGCATCCCCCCCACTGGGGATGTGCCCGCAACCGAGGTACATGCCCTTGACTGGAATCAAACCCGGGACCCTTCAGTCCCCAAGCCGACGCTCTATCCATTGAGCCAAACCGGTTTCGGCAAAAAAAAAAAGTTTTAATTTTTTAAAATTGAGATAATTGATGAATATTATTAAGAAAATGCAATCACTGAAGGAACTGTATGACATAGAAGGGAAAATGCTCTTCCTTTTTAGTCCATTTTCTAGTAGAACAAATATTAACGGTTATGCATGTTCTCTCTGACCCTTAACTATGTCTCATGGGAAAAGTATTTCTATGTCTATATTTATAACACATACTATAGTTTATTTTACAAAAAAAGGTATATTACTCTCTGCTCTGCTCTGCTCTTCACCTTGTTTTTTGCCTTTACACGATTTGTCATGGACTTTTTTCCAGATTAGTTCATACAGATCTGCCTCATTTTTTGAATGGTGCCATAGTATTTCTGATATACATGTAACATAAGTTGTAGAATGCTAAAATTCATTTTGGGGCCTTGTTTAGGTTCTTGGGGCTTTAGATTCTTAAAGCAAAAAAAAAAAAAAAAAAAAAGTGTATCTTAGAAACAATTTTTGTTTTGTCTCTGAGTTAGCCCTTAAAACAAGACTATATAAACTTTATAGAGGCTCATGTAAGAGAGAGATGGGCTTCTATTTATCTTGAAATTTCACGGGGCTTCTTTTTGGGGACTTTACTGCCTTTATTTCCAACCTGGAATAAACAGTTTATTTGCTTTGGCTTCATATTAGTTGAGAAGCCAAGCTGGTAGAGAAGCCTCCTTCCCCGCTCCCCCCACCCCTCCGTCCCCAGCCTTCTAAACGAGGACATTCTCACAGACTGCTGGGAGACTGGCCTTGCACCAGCCACATGCTCCTTCAAAATCAACACCACATCTGCTTGTTTATGGCCTGAAACTTCTTTTCCTTGAATAATGTCTGGGAAGCTTTTCTTCCTTGAGAACTGGGGCGTGGAGCCTTGACCTTCACAAATGACCTTGATGTGTTCACTGATGCTTGCTGCAAATGCAACAATTGCCTTGTGGTGTCTGTATCTTACAGAGTCCCTTATGTTTGTGGCTATTAACAGACTTGTTGATTAGCCTGCAGAAAAGAAATTCCCTTGAAACCAGCAGGGTTTGTTTGTTTGTTATTGTTGTTTTGGGTATTTTAATTAGAATTCTGCAAATGATTTAGAAGACCAGCTTGTGAGGATAAGCTTTATTTTCAAGGCAATACATGCAGTCTCAGAACTAGGAAAGGCACTGATTTTTAGCAAAAGCTCAGTCCACAGTTTTCTGGTCTGCCCTGCACTGCTCTGTAAGTTTATATTTCTCTTCCTTTGGGTTGAAGAGCTCATCTTCTAGATATCCCATCTCATGCAGCTTCTTTTTAAAAAACAACAACACATTTTATTGATTTTTTACAGAGAGGAAGAGAGAGGGATAGTTAGAAACATTGATGAGAGAGAAACATTGATCAGCTGCCTCTTGCACACTCCCTACTGAAAATGTGCCTGTAACCAAGGTACATGCCCCCAATAGGAATCGAACTGGGGACCTTTCAGTCTGCAGGCTGATGCTCTCTCCACGGAGCCAAACCAGTTTCGGCTGCAGCTTCTTCTTAAAACTACACATTGTTTAGGATTGTCACCCTATCAAGGCCAGCTTTGGCAGGGCGATGACAGATTCTGAGTGTTATGTGTAACTCAGATGACAACTAGTGGTCCAGGCACACGAGCAGTCACTGCTCAGTTGCTTCAGGGAAATGGTGTATGTGGTGGCCAATGAGGGTGACCAGAGGGAACCTAGGAGTTACCATTATCTTTTTTTTTTTTTTTTTTAAATATATTTTATTGATTTTTTACAGAGAGGAAGGGAGAAAGGGATAGAGAGCTAGAAACATCGATGAGAGAGAAACATCTACCAGCTGCCTCCTGCACACTCCCCATTGGGGATGTGCCCGCAACCAATGTACATGCCCTTGACCGGAATTGAACCTGGGACCTTTCAGTCCGCAGACCAACGCTCTATCCACTGAGCCAAACCGGTTTTGGCCCATTGTCTTTTTTTTTTTCTTTCATGGCTCAACAAGTTTTAAAACATGTCTTCAGGAAGTAATATTTGGGCATTTTGAGAATTTTAAACTCTTTTGGTATTCCCATTTTCATCCTTACCAGTTGGCTTTGTCACAATGGTAAAAACCTACCCTTTCTTTTTAATTTGTGGACTTAACTGTGTGGACTTCTGCTTGAGCATAGCCTTCCTGGAATAGCTCATGGGTTGGGAATACCTGCCGTTCCTCTGCTAAGATGGCTCCCGGCTGCAGAGGGCTTCCTTTTTGGGGCCTTCTAGCTGTGGGCCTCCCCCCTGGATTTTGTCCCTGGCATGGGCATCCTCAGCTTAAGGACCATCTTCTCAGGTTATCTACCTGCCGAAGTGCAAGATGGGAATGATTGCAAAACAGCTGCTTCTGGAGTTCTGGTTGCCTCAGCACACTGATACCTGGTTGCTGAGGTATCTTTATGCCCTTCTTTAGTAGCTCCATTGAGTATCACTGATGGCATCTTGTAATTATCGCCTTGTCTGCATTGTCTTCTCAATTACTTTGGTACTTTGGAGTAAAATGCTTGCTTAGGGTACAGTTTTCATATAAAAATCCAAACTTAGTATAGGAATCAAGGTGAGATTACAGATCCACCCTCCCTTATCTGTAATTCTGAAACACTCAGAGCTCTGAATAACCTCAAGTTCTTTTGTTACTTATTTGGCAGCAAAGCCTGACTTGAACTCCAGCAAAACCTGACCTGAACTCTCTTATTTATTCCCTTTAGTGCGACTATTCATCCATTTTGCTGCAAAATTATGAATGTATTTTATTGCAGGGTGCTATCTCAGGCCCTACCCTTGGGTGTTACATAATGTAAAGTATATGCACATTTCACCCTTCTGAAACCTGGGAATGCATTCTGCCGCAGGGTCAGGGGACTAGATCTACTTTGGTATCATAAAGTACTAAATTCCATTATACTGTTTGACCACTTAGAGATCATTAAACCTTTGAAGTTTGGGGAAACATGCAAATCATGGTAAGCTCCCCTAGTAGTTGAACATCATTGGTAATGCAAATGCATTTAATTGATGATACAATTTACATTAATGAAAAGATATAGGATTCCACCTCCGATATATTTCTCAGAGCTATCTCTCTTCTCCAGCCCTGCTTCTATGTGTGCGTTCCGGCGGCCATCTTTTGCCTACGTTACTGCATTAACCTCCTAGTGATCTCCCTGCCATCTGTCTTGTCCTTCCCCCAGGTCTTCCACACAGTGCAGCTAAGTTGTCCTGCTGTTAAAACCCTTCAAGACTCCCTGCTGCCCTCTGGATGAAGTCCAGACCTTTTCACATGGTTTACATGGCCCCTTTTTTTTTTTGCATATGTCTCCAGCCTTGTTGCTTACTATTTCTTTCCTTTCCCTTGACAGTCACCCTACACTTCCTTTGGTTCTTTGAATTTGCCTCTAACCTTTCTCCATGCTGTTCCCTTTTTTTTTGTTCTCTGGCTTACTCTGATTTCAACTTTTGGGCTTGGACCAGATGCTACTTCTTTTAGAAATTCTTCTTCTTCTTTTTTTAAATAACTTAAAACTTTTTTAAAATAAGAGTTGAGGTACAGTATAGTTTCAGGTGCACAACCCAATGACTGGGCACATATAACTTAATCTTTTTAAAAAAACCTTTTATTATTTTTTAAAATATATTTTTATTGATTTAAGAGAGGAAAAGAGAGGGAGTAAGAGATAGAAACATCAATGATGAGAGAGAATCATTGATTGGCTGCCTCCTGAATGCCCCCTACTGGGGATCGAGCCTGTAACCAGACATGTGTCCTTGACTGAAATTGAACCTGGGACCCTTCAGTTTGCAGGCCGATGGTCTTTCCACTGAGCCAAACCAGATTGGGCTCTATAACTTACCATTTTAGAAATTCCCGCCAGGCCTTTACTGGACTCATTGCAGCCCTGCACTTCCTCTTTCTGAGCAGGCTACTCCCTCCATGAAGGGAGGGGGGATTATGTCTCCCTTGCTTCAGTAGAGTTTCCCTGTGTAAATGCTTAAAAAAATATTTATTGGATGAAAACACTGATTTCACAGAAATTTGACTTGTATACAAATTTACTTATTGTGTTATGGAAATAATATGTACTCTAAAGTATATAATTTAAGATAGACACAATGGGATTTTCAAAACTGGAGTGCAATGCAAGGAAATTGAACTTGGGCACTTCGGAA